GGGTTTCAGCTTATTGGTCTCAGTTTCTTGATCCGTGAATTGAGAATAACAGGGTAAAATAAGTTAACACGTCCAGCTCCTAGAATAGTGTCTGGTGCGTGATGGGAAAAATATTAGTTATTACCATTATTAATTAATGACATGCCTTTAAAGTGTTGAAATGTATGTTTTCCCCTTCAATATGAGGCTAAGACTGTAAGTATAAGAATAATTTGCCATACATATAACCCAGAAGAATTCTACTACCTAACCTATTATCTGCCACTAAAGTAAATGAGTGCTAAAGAATTGATGCTTTCGAATTATAGTGCTGGAGAAGACTCTTAAGAATTCCTTGGACAGCAAGGAGATCAAACTAGTCAATCCTAAAGGAAATCAACCCTGAATATTCATTGGAAGTACTGATGCTGAAGCTCCAATACCTTGGCTACATGATGTGAAGAGCCAACTTATTGGAAAAGACCAGGATGCTGGGAATGAGTGAGGGCAAGAGGAGAAGGGGGCAACAGAGGATGAGATGGTTGGAAGGCATCATTAACTCAATGGATGAGTGTGAGCAAGGTCTGGGAGATGGTGAAGGACAGGGAAGCCTGGCGTGCTGCAGTCCATGGGGTTGTAAATGGTCGGACATGACTTAGCAACTTAAAAACAACAGCAAAGTAACTGAGAGTTGGTTAGAATTAACCATTCATCAGGAACTATATTCTATGATATTTTGGGTGTTGGTATATAGTATTTTAAGGATGTAAATAATAGTTTGGTTCTGTAAAAACAGCTATTAGCTACTGAACCTTAAAGAAAATTAAGTATGTTGACTTCTCATATTGAAGAGTTTCTAGACAAGTTTCTAGATTTGCTGAGAGTTTTTTTTTTAATTTGCTAACAGTGTAATGAATTGAGACTTGCTAAAGTCCCCTGTGCTTGCATAGGGAGTAAGAGTATCAGCTAGACTGTAGGCGCTAACGAAGTTAAGAAAGAAAGGCAGAACACATAGACAACTTGTTTGTACCATGTGTCAAAGAATGGCAGATGACAGATAAGAATAACTTAGGGGCAAGACTCTGAAGTTGGGCACATAGTTCACAGAAAAGTTATTGTGGTAATGAGGAGAAGTTTTTAAATTATTGAGAAGGTTACCACTGGAAAGCGAAATTCATGATGCTGTGGGGTAACCTAGTATCTCCTTTCCAGGGTTAAAGATGATTCACTTAGAGACTTTTGACTCTCCTCTGGGTCTCAGGGTCCCTAATAGTCACTAGGCATTCATTCAGCAAATATTTAATGAGTAAGTTATAGTCTGAGTGCTGGGGAGACAAACGTAAACCAAAGAAAACATAAATAAGATCTGGTTCCTTCCAGCCCCGATAACTGAATATTTTTCCGGTGGAATAAAAACTCTTTTCTTTAACAGCAGAAGTCCCCTTCAAAGCACTCATACTGGTTCTGTATTAAGTCACTTGTATGGGCTCTTTTTTTTTTTTTAATAAAGAGTGTGCTTATCTGCCTCCTGTGTTTGAATTCTTTCTCTGTAATTTACAACATATATAATTTTGAGCAAGTTACTTACACTGAATCCTCTGCTGTGTCATTGAGCATAATAATACCTATGTATTAGAGTTGTTTTAAGAATTAAGTGGATAATAAATATAGTACGGAAGTTAACATCTGTACGTCATCAGGTCTCAATCAGTCCAGTTCAGTCACTCCGTCATGTCTGACTCTCTGCGACCCCATGAACTGCAGCACACCAGGCCTCCCTGTCCATCACCAACTCGCGGAGTCCACAAACCCATGTCCATTGAGTTGGTGATGCCATCCAACCATCTCATCCTCTGTCATCCCCTTCTCCTCCTTCCTTCAATCTTTCCCAGCATCAGGGTCTTTTTCAATGTGTCAGCTCTTCACATCAGGTGGCCAAAGTATTGGAGTTTCAGCTTCAACATCAGTTGACCATACATGACCACTGGAAAACCCATAGCCTTGACTAGATGGACCTTTGGATGTGAGAGTTGGACTATAAAGAAAGCTGAGCACCAAAGAATTGATGCTTTTGAACTGTGGTGTTGGAGAAGACTCTTGAGAGTCCCTTGGACT